ATACAGACTAGGTGTGGCCTCCCCTGGGTACAGTCTGTGGTACAGAAAACGGTCAATAGCCTTGTCCTGCTCCAACATTTTCAGGCAATCTATCAACTTCTTCTTGTAACCACTTCCTGGATCTCTTTTCAGAGGTTCATAAGTGTTTAAGTCACTAAGGAGTGTCATAACTTTCTCATGATAGTCTTTCTGGTTCAAAATCACTGTGCACCTTCCTTTGTCTGCTGGGAGAATGATGATGTTTTTGTCCTTGCTAAGAGTGCTGAGTGCGTCCCTCTCCTCTCTACTGATGTTGGAAGGTGGTGGTTTGGCATTGCTGAGGCAGGATGAAACTTTGACTCTGAGCTGTTCTGCTTCAGCCTCTTTCATTTTGTTGTTGCGGATGGCTGATTCTGTGGCTGTGATCATCTCCACCAGAGGAATTCTACTTGGTGCAACCGCAAAGTTCAGCCCCCTGACAAGAATCTCTGTCTCCGGCTGGGTGAGCTGTCTGTCGGATAAATTCTTCACCCACTTTTCTTTCTCCCTGGCATGTAATTGACTACTGGAGTGTTGTCCTACACTGAATGTGTTGTTATTGGAATAGTGACGGTGTTGATGAGTTATTAGTACGTTAAACTTGTTTTGTTGTCGAGTCTAGGACTTGACATGACAACCTCCTTTAAGACAGAGCTGAATACAGCACCTCAGACTGAGGAAGTCTTTCGGATGAAAGACGAAACGTTTCTACTTTTTTTTGCTTTGTTTTGTTTTTTTGAATGTCCAGAGGACCAGATTGAACTTTTTTAGAGAAGAATAAACTCTTTATATTCTGATGTTTTATCACGAGTCGGTCCAAATCAAGTTTTACAAGCAGGTCAACGTTGGTTGCTACCTTATAAAGGTCTTCTTAGCTTTCTGATAGCCTCCGGTAGAGTACGACCAATCGAGGTAGCTCTCTTTCATCTCCATGGAAACGGTGGTGGCTGCAGACTGCAGGCCTCTCTGAAAGAAAGGAATAAAAAGCACGAGTTGAACTCCTCAGCTTCTTCGTGTTTTTCATCAGTTCTGTGGACGTTACAGAAAACTACACCTGCTTCTTTTGTTGGGATAATCAATTCAATTTAATTTAATTATACAACGTCAATTCACAACAAAGTTGTCTCAGGGAACTTTACAGGAACACCCAAGTTCATGCTCAATAATCCAGGTATACAATCCAACAGTGTTCAATCAGGTCATCTGGACGGTCTCTTTTTTTGTGCCGAGACGTTTCACCTTCCATCCAGAAGGCTTCATCAGTCTGAGGAAACACCAAACAAAACGGATTCTCCCCCAACCAGTGTTGCCAGATCTCACGATAGAAACAAGCAACCAGCTCTATGAAAATAAGCCCAACTGGCAACCCACCACACTGTGTAAAACAGAGGCCGTTTTTAAAACCGTATAAACAAACATTTATTATGGCATTATACATAAACAGCAATATTATGCTAAACACTTTGAATAACATTCCTTAGATAGAGAACTTTACTAACTGGCTTTTTTATGTAAGTGAATGTTCCTGTAAAGTCCCTGAGACAACTTTGTTGTGATTTGGCGCTATAGAAATAAACTGAATTGAATTGAATTAACATACTTTTAAGCTCTGATCAAAAAATTACATATTACATATTTTCATAAACAAAACATCCTGACATCTGCGTGTGAGTGGAGCCCCCTAGTGGTCGGCCACAGTATGAGTGTTTGGGAGGGTGCCACTGTTGCCACTCCAACTTGGGCGGGAGCGATAAACAGGAAACGAAGGCGTGGAAGGGACAAACTACCACTTACCACTCGTCTTTTGCTTTATTGTGCGGCACTGGGACATAATCAACTAGTTTCACTCGGAAAGAAAGTCAAGTCCAAATAATCAACTTCACGGTCAAAACAAGCCCAAAAAACCACAACTCACAAGATTCACAAACGACTTTAGAAAAAACAAGCCCAAAGTCGCTTATAATAAGTGAACTTGGTAACTATGCCCCCAACAGATTACTACAAAGTGGAAAAAAAACAGTTGGTGCCAAGATGGCCTCTGGGGCACGCCCTAACCTCCGGTGCCCGGCCCGCCCTCTCCCTCATCGACGGTAAACTTGACGAGTCACTTAACAGAAACATTCACATGTATAAAAAGCCAATTAGTAAAGTTCTCGATGGAAGAAAGCCAGCAGACTCGTTGAATCTTCATCACAGTCTCCCATTCTGAGCAAGCACCAAGGCAACGGTAGAAAGAAAAACACTCCCTTTTAACAGGAAGAAACCTCGAGCAGAACCAGGTTCAGGACAGGCAGCCATCTGCTTTGACCATTATCGACTGGTCTGTCTTTCCTAACCGCAACTAAATGAGCACAAACTATTTATTTATAAAGCACAAAATTACAACAAAGTTGTCTCAGGGCACTTTACAGGAACATTCACATACATAAAAGCCAATTAGTAAAGTTCTCTATCTAAGGAGTTGTTGTTGTTGTTGTGGTTGTTGTTGCTGTTGTTGGTGTTGGTAGTGTTGGTGATGGTGTTGTTATTGGTAGTGTTGGTGATGGTGTTGTTGTTGTTGGTGGTGTTGGTGATGTTGTTGTTGTTGGTGGTGGTGTTGGAAGTGTTGGTGATGGTGTTGTTGTTGGTGGTGTTGGTG